TATGCCCCCCAGTTATGTGTTAAGAAGAGAAGGCAGAAAAGGATAGTAGATAGTATTTTACGCTCACTAGTTCTGCTTGTACATCAGCGTTGTCTTCTGTGAGCCAGTCAGCAGCGTGATTAAAGAAATATTTCATATTTCTTATTTCATCATATTTATGTACCTGCAGAAAGGGTCTATTTCGGTTTAGAAGAAGTTTACATTTCAAAGATTTATCTCATTGAAAGAGTCCAGACCTTGTGAATTATCTGACGCAGAAACCAAAATAACTACCTTTATTGTACATCATAATTTACCTAACTGACAGCTCAGATACTAGCTAAAAGCTCAGGCACGCCCATTTCACCGACTTTCTGTCGCTGCATTATATAGCTGCGAAGGGTTCAGCTTATCGTTGGTCTCCTGGAATTCACCATGTGTTTTCTACTGTATGAACTGCAAGGTCCATCCTTTTGGACCGAACCTGAAAAGGTTTGTTCCGAAGGATTAATTCCAGACTAGTACATTAAGTTCAGTTCCGTCCACTTTTATTGAGGAAAGGGAAGACAAACGCCTATGAGCTCCTTATTGGCGACACAAGGACTAAAAATACGTCGATACAGTAGAAAAATTCAAACAGTCGTGTCGTTTACATAATCACAAGCGAAAATCGAACAGCCCTCAGGTAATTCAAAATGGTAAACATTCGTGTCTACTCACTTATTACGAGTAGAATAAAGTTAAACCCTGCAAAATCTTAATGGCATTTGTGGGCTCTTGTGCTCTAACGGCAACCTATAAGAGCTTTTGTTGCACTCTCTAGGAAATTCAAGAAGTGGACATGGTCCGAGAAGAATCAGTTAACAGTGGTCCTCACACGGAAGTTCGGTTCTGGAAACAGAGGACAACCCGATTTAGCTCCCTGCTCAAGCAGCTCGAGGCCACTGAAGTGAAAAACGCGCTTTTGGCGCTGAAAGAAGCACACTCAAAGACCACGGCGGTATGAGCTTCCCTGAGTTTATTTAATTTGCTTTCACCCTTTACTGTGTCTCAATACTCTCGGAAGGTTAAGCTAAGCTCGGTTATATGGACAAATTTACGTTGAATAAAAGGCTGTGTTGGCGGATTTGATAGCCAGGCCCGCAGCTGATAAATGGGTTTAGTTTTAGTTTAGTTTAGTTTAGTTTAGTTGGTGCGGAGAATAGGCAATGTCTTTGCGAACCCGATTGACTGCATGCCGGTGCGTCACAGACAGGTACATGCACATATAAAACATTACCACTTCTAACATAGTTTGGCAAACAGTTAGTAGCATTGTTTTTTTACAATATATGTCTGGTTATAGAGTTCAGACTTTGGAGAGAGGAGAGGGACGCACGTAATTATCCAAGCGTTGTTTGTACATTTGAAGGGAAGTTTGCCTCCACGACTGACTGTGGAAGGTTGTTCCACTGTTTTATGACACGTTGCGTGAAGAATTCAGAGCGGAGGTTTAGCTTGGACATTTTCGTGCGCAGCCTCATTGTGTGCTGCTCTGGGGGATGGGGTAGTTCGTTGGAGGCAGGTGGAGGACGGCACACTTTTGCACATTAAAATCCAGGGTAATTCAGCTCTGGCATATTTTGACATACTGACAGCGGCTGCTCTTTGAGGACTTGGTAGACATCCTCCTCCCTCCGACTGGAAAAAGGAACGTCCACCTTACAGGTGACATTGCTCCACATTGGGGGGAAAAATAAGAACTAGAGTACATGTTAAAATTGGTGTTGTTATTGAGGGGCTATATGCCCTTCTTGATATTAAATGCGATATAACTTGTATTCTGTAGAGGGATGCTCCCATAGGAGGCAGCACACAATTGACTTCGGGTAAAAATGTATTGGAGTCAATTGCGCATAGTTTGCGCTCAGTAAAACAACTATAACTCGGTTATATTAGTCCAATGAGAACAAGTCGGCTCAAATGCACAATCAGCATACCTGAAGTATTTGTTTCTCGCGCGTGGTGTGCTGCGGCTTTCGTAGAGAAACGCTGAGAGGAAATGCAGACGACCGTGACTGTTTAAGAC